TCCTTCCTTCCTTCCTTCCTTCCTTCCTTTCTTTTTCTTTCTTTCTTTCTTTCTTTCTTTCTTTCTTTCTTTCTTTCTTTCTTTCTTTCTTTCTTTCTTTCTTTCTTTCTTTCTTCATCTGCTGGCTGCATATTTTAATCACAATGAGCCATCAAGCCATTTCCAACTTCTGGCAACCCTATGAATTAATGACCTCAAGATCCTATCATTAATGCCTCGCTCAAGCCATACAAACTCAAGGCTGCATGTTGGTGCAAGAGAAAACATTGCAATGAAAAACAAAAACAAAAACTCATGTTTAGTCACTGGAATCAGGTAAAAGGATTTGCAGGTGTGAAAAAAAGCCCCTCTCTCATAGACCCGGGATTAGGCACAGGAGCTTTGTATTCGTATCCCTGGAGAAACAAATATGAAGCGTGGCATCACAGGTGCCACAGCGGTTGGCTCCCTCCCCCAGAACCAGCTCGGACCACTCATCAGAGTTCACGTGGGGCACACATCCGTTATCGGTAACATGGCACCAATAGCGGACGTAGCCTGGCCGGTGCTTCCTCATCTCCCTATACTGCTGACCACTCTGGTGAGGAGGCAGGATGATGAGTTACTCCACTCAGTTGCTGAATGGTCAGCACTGCGGAGAGGTGGGGAAGCAGCTGGGCTACTTCTGTGATTGATGCAATGCAGATGATGGCGGCTACCTGAGCCATGCTGCGGGCAATAAGTGGACCAGTCGGATCTAAGGGGGAGGATCTAAAGAGATGAATATGAATATCCCATCTGTACTCTGGATGGCTACCAGTCAGATTTGATAAGATTGGACTACTTGGACTAATAATCAGATCTGGAATAAATTATTGTCCAATTGTCTTTTCTATGTTTCAAATAGATAAGCATCTGGGACAGGGCATGGGATTAAGGGTGTTGAAAAGTTACCTTTTTTACTATAAATACCAGAATCCCCCAACCAGCATTATCTAATCTAATCAATGTGTTCTAATAAGTGTAAAATGTGGCAGGGAGAAACAAGAAGTACAGGGTTTTTTAAAGAAAAAAATCAGCAAAAAGGCATTTATAAATTTCAGGAGCACCTTTGCAATGTCCTTTAAAAGCTGCAGAAATGCAGTTTTTCAGTGTTGAAAACTGAATGCAAATACACATAAAAGTGTCATTCACGTTAAAAAAAAATTAAGAAAAAGCTACCCACTCATTCTACAGCTTTACCCCATGATTTAAAATTTACTTTCTTATTTATACTTTTCCCCAGCTGAATAGACTGCATAACAACTCCTGTTATTTGATTTGACATTCTATAAAGAGTATTAATAGTGCCCCAAGTAAAACAAGCTACATTAAATATTATTTCACAGAACATTATTTATTTATTCACTAAATGTTGCTCAGTTAACATAGCCATTCAATACACAAACAGATGATGACCTAATATGCCAGTGATACAGCCTAGAAAAACAAAATATTCAATTTATTATTTTTTGTGAATCTGTCTGTTTTTCTGTTTGCTTCTTTCATGAAGCAAGTTTTAAACTCACAGCAAACCCATGTCCCACTCCAGCTCTTGAATGTCACATTCAGTTATTGTTATATATCCCTAATTTTTTTGCATTAATTAGGGCTACACATCTAATTTCTATATATTTATTTATTTCTAAAAGGCACTGATCACATGGTAGGCAAAAGGAAAGGTACAGTCAAACACAGTTCTAAGATGATGATGAGGGGGAGTACATTAAGTGTACGTACAGTTCCTTTAGTTTTTCTTTTTTATGTAACTATAAATAAAAAACCTAAAAAATAAGATGAGGATGATAATGCATATGAGTCATATAATGAGACAATCTTTGTAGTTACTCTGTGTCTAGACCAATCAACGATTCAAGAAAACAAACTTTATTTATTTAAAATCAAAGTGAAAACAAACACACAGGGCAGTTCCATCACAGAAATATATACAATGCATAATTCTGCTTCATTTTTAAAATTGCAAATTATTGATGCATGGACTATTTGTTCTGCCAAAGACATGCAAATAAGAATAAATTCTTAGTAGCCTGTTCTAAGTACAAATGTTACATGACAGATGCCCCCATGAGGCATTTCTTGAGTGTTGTACATTTGTAACATTCCCAGCTAACTAAACTCCTGAAATATTAAGGTCAACTTTATGGTCAATTAATACCTCCTTGGCTTCTTGCCATAAAAACATTTCTTTGGTTTGCTGTAATAAACTGTGAAATAACTGGTAGAAAATTTCAAATTCTTTCAAGAATCCTCTCTGTCCAATTTGAGTGGCAGATCACCCATATTTACCTGCATATAACAATGCAGCAACCTTAAAATCTTCTACAGCTAGGGAGAAATATGATCTTTTTAAAGATTTTGTAACATCATTAATACAGAGATAACAATGCAGCAACCTTAAAATCTTCTATAATTAATACAGACAGTGAAGAAGGAAGGTTCTAAAATGCACCCTTGCCAGAAACCATGAATAGAAGAAAATATAGTTTTCTACCTTAACTTTAATATTAATCTTAGTATATGAGTTCTTAATTGCAATGAGAAGCCTGCTATCTCTATTTCTATGTAGCAGTTTAAACAAGAGGCAATCTCTGTATATTAAATTGATGCCGGAGGTTGAATCTGCAAAAGCTGATTACAGGTGATGGTTTGACTCTGCTGGGTAATTTGTGTGGAGGGGGCATATAGTAAAAGAGGGATCAATAGTGCTTTTAAAAAGCCTCTGTGCTTTTTGGCAATGATCTAAAAATCAATTGTCCATTCTTCCAATTTCTTTAACAAAAATCTAATAGAGAGCTAATAGCCTAATCAACCTACCATTTCCCAAGCAGGAGGAATTTTGAAAAGTCTTTTAACAGGAGAGATCTAGGATGCAAAGCCTGTTATTGACCAATTGAACTATAGTTTCTTCCCATTTTCCTTTAATACGCAAGTTCCTGAACCCCAAAAAGGGACTTCATGGACATCATTTTTGAAAACGATTTGTGTAATAAGAGATACATGTTTTTTACAATATTTTCCTCCATCACAATCCAAATCTACTGCAAAATTATTTTCTAAAATATAAAGCAAAGTGTGCCACCCCATAGTGGTTAAAACACTCAGGGCAATTTGCAATTTAGTTATACAGGCCACACATTGACCACCTCCCCCAGCAAGTTTAATAACCTTGGAAGGCTGAGCCAACTTCAATCTGGCTACTGGAGCCCTTTGCGATCCAACTCAGTTTGAGAGCAGAGTCTTGACTGCAGTATTGCAGTTTAACTACTGTCCCATGAAGCTCCTTAGAAGTTTTGTGTTTGGTTTGGTTTTTTGAACTATACAGCTGGCCAAATTCCACAGTAAGCATGATCAGACTTCGAGAGTTATGTTCCAAAAGAGGAACATTTCAATCTCTGTAGATGGCTTGTGTATCATCAGAGTTACCACTTAGAAACAAATCAGAGGATTGAAATCCGCTGGTCTGCAGGCCAAACTATGCCTTCTAAAGATTGCTGGTAACACTCGGTACATCTCCATGATCTGGAGTGCCTGGCTGTGGAGCCAGAGGGCAGAAATATGAATGCTAGGAGTTTGCCTCCTAAGAAAGGTCCAGCTGAGATTACCTGGAGGGTGTGTGTTATGTGCCCTGCTACCTGTACAACCTTGAGCAAGATCCACATTGCCAGAGAGCCACCAGGGGAAGGAACAACATCTGAATACTTTATACATAGAAAACCAAGGAAGGGTTGTCATCAGTTATAACAGACCTGACAGCAGATAAATATTGATTCCATTAAGAGATGGCTGACCTCAGAAGGGAATGAAAGGGCCAGCAACTGGGCAAATAAGATTATCCTCAAGAGTCTTTTGACGGTCCAGATTTCAGCCTCGCCCAACCATCTACTCAAAACCATTCCCAAACACTCCCTTTAAGAAAAGTAATTCCTAGACAGGATTGCTATTATACTACACTTTATTATTCCGAATTAGAAAGAGAAATTTAAAAGCCTCGTAAGGAGGAAACAGTTGAGAACAGGACAGATTTCTCTAGATTAATCAGTATCTTTCTATAAGTGTATCAACAGCCTATAGAAAACTCCTGAAGGAGAGAAGAAAGAAAGTCCTTTACTATTGGCTGCAGAAACACAGGAAATCCTTTGATGCAATTAAGAGATTGGTAACCATACCTCCTAAGGGGAAGGAGCACCGTGCGTTGAGCAGGCTGAGCTCTCCCTAGCAACACTGAATCCGTAGTGTTCCAGCCAAGACCCCCAAAGAGGGTTCTACGTTTGCACAGGGATGCCAAATTGCAAACTTAGACAGAGTAAAGAAATGCTTCTACAGAAGGCAGACAGCTTCATGGGACGCTTGAAAACGCTGTCCAGTCGCCGCTGCAGCAGCACGCCATGTCTGAAAGGTAGGAGACCGAAAGTGGAAAAGTAACTTTAGTCTTCGCACTGTTGACTTGACACAGTTTGGAAGGGGGGAAAAAACTAGATAGGGTTACAGGATTGAGTATCTTTATAAATGCAGAATTAGCAGCAGTTGAATGGTAGAGGCTGGGCTCTCAGGCTGTGAAAGCAAAGAAGAAGTGTGTGGCTTGTTCCTTGCTCAAGACAAATAACATCTCTAAAGGAATGGATTATTTATGAAAAGCAGGTACAGGCAGCAGCTCAAATGTGATATTAAATGTGCAGTCGTTAACGTTTATTGACAGCTAGCCTGGCATTTGAGTTATTTATCCACCAGTAATGGCTAATTGTATGCAATATGGCTAATTCTAATAAGTGGGCCTGATATAGCATGTGCGTAGAATTGAATGCCGCACTGCTGGGATAATCATTCACTGTGTAGCCAGCACGTATGCGAAGAAACGAGTATTCATAAAATTGTTTCCAAATTGTTCTACCCAACTAGTCAAAGATCCTAACTACGCTCAGAGAAATGGTTTGTAATTTCCTGACTATGACAAAAAGCTGGACCTGGGAGTCTTTCGGCTGTGGTGTTTGGGTTCTTATGCTCATGGCAGGGGTGATCCAAGGTCAACCGAGACAGGTAACAGAATATAAGAATGACAGCAGTGAATATGTAGTGCCGTAGTGTGTTTAAAGGGCTTTAAACAGGAGGGCCTGCCGTGCTCTGGTCCATGGGGTCACTAAGAGTCGGACACGATTTAACAACTGTACAACAACAACAAGGGTGAGGTAGATTTCATGAAACAAGAGTAAAACCTTCATTCCCCTTTGCAAAATTATTAGCCAATGTAGTAGAAGAATTAAAACAGCTTAGCTTGTTCTTTGCTTCTAGGCTAGGTGCAAGGAAATAAAGAATAGCTAGTTATGTGGGGGAGGGGGACACACTCACCTTTTATCGTCATTTATTTGTTTTAAGCTATTCATCAGACAAAAGTTCAATAAGACAACTGGCTAAGTTCTCATTATACAAATGAAATCTTTTCTACTTTACTCCCCTCTTTCTTTCTAGCATAAACATGTTTAATTCTGTATCTATATCTGCATATACAGCGTGTGAAATTTTCTGATTCTGTTTTTGACTCTAATCTGGTAAACAGGAAAGCCAAATAGCATTGCATATATTTGGGGTGGGGGAGAAAGTTTTAGGGGTCGGATCCTACCTCCACACTATTATGGTAAATAGGAAAGCCAAATAGCATTGCACATATTTGGGGGGGGGGAGGAAAGTTTTAGGGGTTGCATCATACCTCCACACTCTTAGGGAGCAGGCTGGGTAGGTGGGGCTCGTCAGCTATGGAGGCAGCTCATCTCGGAGAAGGAAAACTCTGATTTCAAACCTCCACTGCCTTGTGGCTATATCCACTAATGGAAAAAGGCTTCAGGAGTTAACCTTGAGGCAAAATCCAGAGCCGGAGTCCCGGAGGCAGTTCGTGTCATTCTGGCAACTCCTGAGATGTTGTTGGAACCAGTTGTATTGGCTATTGCTGCCATTCTGGCATTGGGAAGATGAACAAAATGTCCAATGCCTCGTGGCGCAGTGGTTAAACCACTGTACTGCAGCTAAAAACTGTGCTCACGACCTGGGGTTCAAATCCCAGGTAGCTGGCTCAAGGTTGACTCAGCCTTCTATCCTTCCGAGGTCGGTAAAATGAGTACCCAGCTCGCTGGGGGGGCAATGTGTAGCCTGCATAATTAAATTGTAAACCGCCCAGAGAGTGCTTGAAGCGCTATGGGGCGGTATATAAGCAGCACGCTTTTCTTTGCTTTGCTTTGCTTTGCTGTTACTATAGTCTCTGTGTCATCAACATGTTCTTTAATACAAAGCTTCAACACAGAGTTTCCTGGAGACATCCAAGATTGAAGCATTGGCATCAGCTCGATTTGATCCTCACTAGTCGTTCTAGCCTTTCTAGTATTACGATCATACGCAGTTACCAGACTGCTGATTGCGATACTGATCACTCCCTGGTGTGTAGTAGAGTAAAACTGTGAAGAAAGAGATTGTATCACACGAAAAAGGAAAGACGACCATGTATCGACATCAGCAAGACTCGCGATCAAAGAAAAGTGGAGGAATTTGCCCAACCACTTGAGGAAACCCTTCCAGGCCCGGCTGATGCAAACACACCTGAACGATGGGAACCATCCTTCACCACCCTTCACCACCGGCAATGCTGGCTGGGGCTGATGAGTTGGGGAGTCCATCATCCCCTCACAGGAGCAAAATTGCCTAATTCTGCTCCAAATGAACTATGCTGTTCAATTGTTCTTTGATGCAAATGTGCAAGCTTAAATAGTGCAGGCTCAGCAAGGTTTGCTACAATATAAAAACAAAACATGAGTTTAGAAGACTTGATTTTAACAAACCCTTATTTGCCTTGTGCCCAGAGGCCTAATTTTAACAATCTCAAGACGTTGCAATTACATGTGAAAAGACACTTTCTGAGTTGGCTGAGTGGAGGAAAAGAAAGATCCAGAAGAGGTACAGGAGCCCAGCAGTTTCCTGTTAGAGCATTAGTGAAATGAATTCCTCTCTGGAAGTAGGATCTGTGATTTATGATACCAACCTATTTCTTACTGCAGGCAAAAGGAAGGAAATAACTCTGCTAAGACAGACAGCACCAGTCTCATTCCTTCCCACCCTGAATGGATGATATCATCTCCCGTGTGTCTCCCAGAAGAGCCATTTGCTGAGTCAAACCAAGGCAAAGGGTTCTCCAGTCTAAATAGAAATTTGGGGTGGTTTAAAATATGGCAAGTGATAATTGTTTTAAATTGCATCTTGCCTCTACCACTGCTGTTACTTTTAGCTTTCTCTTAGAGCTAAACTGTAAAGGGGAGGGGGTAATATACCGCACAGCTAAGCCAATGTCTGTACCTACATTGAGTTATAAAATATTACGAGGTGCTCTTATATAACCAACCAGAGCTCAGTGTCCTGATGGCTGAAATATGGTTCACCTTGAGTAACACTTTTACAGCTGCCTTGTAGCAAGTCAGATCAATGGCCAGAACCTGAGAAAACAACTTTTGGAGAGACTATACTGCAGCTGTGCTGACTGAGGAACTACAGGAATTATAGTGCAATAAGTGGTGTTTTCTAAATGATCTTTTAGCCCCATGTTGTCTGGCTGACTAGGAGCTAACATCCAGATATCAGTCAGCGTTCCTTCAATGTTCTTTTTCTTGAGAAGGTATAAATTGGGTTAAAACCGAGAATGGGATAGAATCCTGGGCAAGCCAGTTACCCTCTTGTCCACTTTTCAAGTTGGAAAGAATGCCCGATTATCCAGAGTATTTTGCAATCTCTGTCCATGCATGAAGTCTTATGATTGGTAGATAGGCTGATATTTATTGATTTCCTTCAGATGAGCAAGACGCAGAGTACACGGTCTTCCTCCTTCCTTTGCCATACTCCCAACAACTTTATAAGGTAGACAAAGCTCAGAGGAAGGTATTTTCAGGCCACCCAATAGGTTTTATGGCTGAGTGGGGAAAGGAAACTAAGTCTCAAAGTCCAACTCCTCCAATCTAACCACTACACTATGCTGCCTCTCTGCAGGAGACCAGATGTGAAACAAACAGGTACTGCAGTAGGTCTTCCATTCTACAAGTCAGATATGGGATGTTTAGTCAATATGTGAGTCAGTGGTGGGAACGTTTTTTCTTCCCAAAGGAGTAATGTGCTTGAGGCCACTAATGCCAGTCAAAGAAGTCTGTCTGTCTGGTCATCTGGCAATCTGTTTGTCTGTCTGTCACTTGCCAGGCAATCCCAGAAACCTAACCAGTTGGGAATTCTTTCCTTTGCCCAGCCTGCCTACCTTCGTCCTTTCCTTCCTCCCTCCCTCCCTCCCTCCTTTTTCTATCAGGTATTTGTCTCAACTGGCCTTTATTCTGCCTCAGGGAATTTTCTGACCTAGCTTTTCAAAGAAAAGGCAGATTTAACAAGCCATTACTTGTTATTAAGGCATCATAGTCTCAGGAAGGAACTGTTTCACAGAACAGGAGAGCTAGTCTACAATAAATAGTCTATTTCAAGGTGTTTCTGTCAGGTTTATATTACTGGTGCATTTTGTCATGGAGACTTGTTACATACCCTGAGATTCTATTGACCCTAGAGCACGGTCTGAAGTACAAGATGTAGCATCATATATGAAGGTGTAAGGTATAGGTTTGTTCAGCTGGATGGGGAGTGTTATTTGAGTATCCTCTGTGAAAGTACAATTTAAATAATTTATTTCTTTTTTTTTAATGTCCCTCTGAAAAATTGCACTTTTGCACATTATGACTTATTTTCTGTGTCCTGCAGACCAGGGTGAGCAAATCACAGATCATGGTCCATGTATTATCCTCTGGTCCATTTTTCCAACCCCAGCTGCCAAATTTTGCGGACACTCACTTTCATGACAAGGTGTGCAGGAAGGAACAACTTTTTAAAAAGCTATTTTACACCACCACCTCACCTCAAGTAGTCTTGCCATTAAGATAAAAAATGTATTTTTGCCACTCACGTTGGCACTTTTTGGCAGAAAATTGGGCAAGACAAGCAGCATGATGTAGCCTTCAGTCAGTTCAGAGGACAATATATCCTCATCTCCTCTTTGCACTGGCTCTTCTAATTATGCTCAGTGAGTATAATGCCATTGTATACTGTGACCTTTAATGACATTGATGAGGCATCAAAATATTGCATCAGGTACTCGCAGTACTAGGGGGACATGATGGCGCTGTGGGTTAAACTGCAGAAGCCTCTGTGCTGCAAGGTCAGAAGACTAGCAGTCGTCGTAAGATCAAATCCACACGATGGAGTGAGCTCCCGTTGCTTGACCCAGCTCCTGCCAACCTAGCAGTTCGAAAGCATGTAAATGCAAGTATACAAATAGGTACCATCTCGGTGGAAAGGTAACGGCATTCCGTGTCTAGTCGCGCTGGCCACGTGACTATGGAAACTATCTTCGGACAAACGCTGGCTCTACGGCTTGGAGATGGGGATGAACACCATGCCCTAGAGTCAGACAAGACAGAACCTTTACCTTTACTAGCAGGTCAGTTTACTCAAAGTATTTCCAAAAAATGTTAAGGGGAACCTTTACCTTTACTAGCAGTAAAAATTAACCCCTCACAGGTCAGTTTACTCAAAGTATTTCCAATACGTTGTGCACAGCAATGATCTAATGTAGCTATAGGGAGAGGAATAAAGCAATAAATTACTATTTTTATCTACTTGGTAAGGGGATCACATAAAAATCATTTTGAAACCCAGTTTCGCAAATCAGCCTGGTATGACAAAAATGCACAAACAAGAGGTCAGCCTCTACATTTAAGCCAATGTCCTACTCAAGTGCCCTCTCGCATTTTGAAGAGACACTTGTCCATCAGGCTGAGGCAAAGAAACAGTCCCGAAACCAGCAAAATCAGGGAGCTGGACAGGGGACAGACTGTATTTGTCATATGGAAGGGATTGTCACTCTCGAATTGGCCTTCTCAGCCACACTAGATGCTGTTCCAAGTCCTCTGTTCAGAGCACGTTACCATAGTCTTTCAAGACTGAAGGATGCCTAATCTAACTCAAGTCATGAATAGAGTTATGCACCAATTTATAAGGTGCTGGGTAGCTCAATGATCGAGGTATCTAGATATGTTGGGAGTTGAATTCCCCACTGTGTCTCCTGAGAGAATATCCAGCTTGTGATGCTTTGGGCAAGCTGCACTGTCCCAGGAAGCCCCCAGAAGAAGGGAATGGTTAAAAAAAACTTCTGAGTATTCTCTACCTGGAAACCCCTGAAAAAGGTCACTATAAGTCAAAATTGACACAATGGCACATGATTATTATTCTTAAAACAAAGATCCCCTTTCTTGGTTGAGCATAACAAACAAAAAAACAGGGTAGGTTACAGTCCATCAGCACCTTGGACAGCTCACTGCAGCTGCTGATTTAAAAGTACTGTAATGCCCTGCTGAAAATTTCTTCTTGAGGGATTTCAACCATTCTTGTTCAATTGACAGGGAAAAACTATAACATCTTAGAAAATTTCAGAGGAGGTGATGACTCATTGGCAGAATCCTTGTTCTTACCTTTGAGGTGGCTGAGGAATGTGTTGGCCATGTCTTGTTTTTCATTTCAGTGGTCTCTGTGACAGCCAACAGCCTCCTCAATTTTCCACACTTTGCTTAAAGTCCAGGGAAGCTGTCATAAGACAACTCTTCTCACAATCTCCTATGCCTCAAGGCTCAGACATAGTTTTTTTCCCCTTTCAGATGAAGTGTGCATAGCTGTAGTGATAGTGATAAATAAATATGCAATTTTTAAAATCGCACAAACACACACACAGCAGTTTCTGATGTTATGGTAATCTCAAGCACACATAAAATATGAAGGGCCCTCAGAATGAGACAGAAAAATGGAGACATCTTTCATAGGATAATAACAATATGGGGAAAGTGGAGTAAAAATTGCAGCATGGATGTATATCTGTGAAGATTCTCAGTCATACGGGTGATGTTATCTGGAAGTTGAATCATGGCAACTGGACTTCTTTCTTATTAAGTTGAAACATTTCATTACTCATCCAAGTAGCTTCTTCAGACTGAAGAATCTACTTGGATGAATAGTGAAATGTTTCAACCTAGTAAGAAAGAAGTCCAGTTGCCATGACTCAGAATAGATATAGCTTCCCCTTCATCCTGAAGCAGGGCAGAAGACTGATCTCCCGTCCACATGCTACAGATGGAAGAAGAGGTATAACATATATCTACAGTACAAGCAAATGTATCTTACTTATTTTATTTTATTTATATCCCGCCTATCTGGTCAATCATGACCGCTCTAGGCGGCTTACAGCATGAATAAAATACACATAAAATATGCAGATAAATATAAAATTATTCCATAGTGAACAATAAACAAAATCCAACAAGACAGAAAACAAACAGTAGGAAAGGGGGGGGGAGAGGAGAACATCAGGAATTTACTGGAGGGAAGGCCTGCCGAAACATCCATGTTTTTAGTTGATTTTTAAAGATACCCAGTGAGGAGCCGCACGAATCTCCAGAGGTAGGTTGTTCCAGAGGCGAGGAGCCACTGCCGAGAAGGCCCAGTTTCTTGTTTTTTCCTTCCGGGCCTCCCTCGGCGTCAGGCTCCTCAGGCTCACCTCCTGACTTAATCAAGTGATACGGCTAGTTCTTGGTGGGAGTAGGCATTCCGCCAAGTATCGAGGCCCTAAACCGGTACTTGGTGGAACGGATACTTGACACCCACTGAGAAGTCCTGAGAAAGGTGTCCTGAAGAATGACGGGCACTGAACCAACATTTCTCCAAATACATGATTCTTACTTCTCTAGAAACTGAAGCCAACTTTGTAGATGCAGAGAGGTAACTGTATGGAAGGAGACTCTGCAAGATGTATTTCATGCATGTGGAAGCCAGTGGCAGGACCAGGAGATACACCTTCCACTGATTTGTTTGTACACAAGCACGCGTGAGAAAAGGGCTCATGGGTCCTGGAACAAAAGACTGACAATAGTAGTCAGACATCCCTGATGCACAGCTTCACCATCATTACAGATTGGCCACACCTATACACAGCCCAACAATGATTGGCCAAAGGGATGACATGTCTCAGAAGGCGTAGATAATTTCTGGGGTGCAGACCAACAGTGGGTCTCACAACCTGTCAAAGGATGCATTCTCTTGTTGATGCTGTGCCATTGAATTTCAGCACACAGTGACAGCAGCAAAATACCTGGAAATTCTTTTAAAAACAAGGCGCATTGTACCTTCACCGAGGAATATGTGAAAGATTTCTGAGGGCGAAAAGGCATTCAGGATACTTCCAAATAGTGTGCTTTGCCAAAGTAACATATGATTCTGTTCAGTGCGTTCCTATATAGCAACATACCTTCTGTCTGAAGCCATTTAGTGCTTTATATTGGCCTTGCACTCTTGCTTAGACAATAGGTTCCATTACCATTCTTACTGGAGCATTTTATGGCACGTCTTTCTCTGCTCCCCTGTGCAGCTGTTATAATCATGTTTTGTGACAGATCGTGGGGCCCGTAGAATAAAAGGAATGAGGCAGTGCAGAATTGGCTCTGCTACTAAAGATCAACATGAATATCGATCAAGGTATTCCTGTGTAGACTGCTGCCCACCTTTGGAGATGTTCATTTGCTTGAAATCGCAACCTTGAAAATTGCACCCTACGCAATAAAAGATAAACCAATTTCAGTGTTCTTGCCCAACAAAATAATAAATGGCAGAAACCTTTTGTGGTGCATGAAAATGCTGTGTTAGATTCAGTTCTACAAAGTTAAGGGTAGGAAAGAGACTGGGTGGGGGAGTCTGGAAAGGCTCCTTGGAAAGTAACAGGGTATAGACAGACTAGGGTCGGTAGAGCAAAGTGGGCCACTTGTAATTCTCCAGGTATTGTACAACAGCAACTCCCATCATTTCTTCCCATTCTCTGTTCTGCCAAGTATAATGGAAGTTGCAACATCTGCCAAGGCACATCTTCCCCACCCCTGAAGCACAGCATACAAGTTGACCTGGCCAGAGAGGATCCTGTCCCAAAAGCCTTATTTTTATTTATTTATTTGATTTTTATACCTCCCATCTGACCAATGGTCACACCAGTTCACAAACAAAATAATATCAGAAAAGCATAACATAATCCAATGTGTGTCTCTCCTGATCTGTTCTGGCCTATTGGCTTCCTTGTCAGCCTTGTTGATCTCTTAACTGCTCCCTTCATTCCTTAAGTGCCACTTGATGTGTTGCCTTGTGTGGCATAATCTTAATGCACATTACACACAGGTCCCTTCTAACAATCTCAGCCTTTCAGCTGTTCATGCCAGGGAGAGAACCTGGGGACATTCTGCACACATTTTGTATGCAGAATGTCTCCTAGGTTCTCTCTCTGACATGAGCAGTTGAAAGAATTAAGAGATAACTTGAAAGACCTCCATCTTAGATCTGGAAAGTGCCACCAATAAAGATAGCCAATAGTGAGTCACCTCCAGGATCCAAAGCACTGTCTTTTGGTTAAGATGACCACATTCCTCTTTAAGTTAGATATTTGAAGTTATGAAATAATCTGTTCTGGCCTATTGGCTTCCTTGTCAGCCTTGTTGATCTCTTAACTGCTCCCTTCATTCCTTAAGTGCCACTTGATGTGTTGCCTTGTGTGGCATAATCTTAATGCACATTACACACAGGTCCCTTCTAACAATCTCAGCCTTTCAGCTGTTCATGCCAGGGAGAGAACCTGGGGACATTCTGCACACATTTTGTATGCAGAATGTCTCCTAGGTTCTCTCTCTGACATGAGCAGTTGAAAGAATTAAGAGATAACTTGAAAGACCTCCATCTTAGATCTGGAAAGTGCCACCAATAAAGATAGCCAATAGTGAGTCACCTCCAGGATCCAAAGCACTGTCTTTCGGTTAAGATGACCACATTCCTCTTTAAAATAAGTTAGATATTTGAAGTTCTGAAATTGTGAAATTTGAAATAATGAAATAAAGAAATTATGAAAATCATTTCTGATGTTCCATCTGCATACAAAACTGAGCATGTGATTTTTGCTTGTTTATTTTTTTATTTCACAAAAACCATGCTTTCCTTTGTCCTCTTTCTTAGTGATGTGTGTGGCTATTCCATTGTCAATAACAAATGGGGGGAAACTCATAATTTGCTACCTGTAAAGGTTCTAGGTGGCCACTGTAGCAACGGAACGCTGGACCACATGGACCTTCAGCACAGCTCTTCTATTCTAAAGGTTACTAATAAAGCTCTCTGCTACTTTAACATGTGGTCTCCTTAGTTCCTCAGGTCTGAACACGAGCTGCCTCAGATTCTGCACCTCCCATTCGTCTCCTTGCTCTGATCTCAGTGATATAGACACCCCTTTGCCTGTCTTATCATCAAGGAACAGAGGACTACACCAGCCCAGCTGTGATTCTGGCATTGCCTCTCCAGTAAGCATTCTGGTTCTGGTTTCTCTGGAAGAAAGCAGAGATTGATGGTAACCTCATTACTAGCACCTCACTATTAGCATCTCCCCCACCCTCCTGTTCATCATGACATTGTTTATAAAGCTGATTACAGCAAGCAACACTAGGACAAAATGAAATGAAAGTTATAGCTGGTTTGATTTCCCAGCACATACATTGTACAGTGGTGCCTCGCAAGACAAATGCCTCGCAGGACAAAAAACTTGCAAGACAATTGGTTTTGGCAATGGGGGGTTGATGACTCACAAAACAAATGTTCCTATGGCCATGTTTCGCAAGATGAATGTTTTCCGTTTTTTGTTCCTGCCTCATGTTTGCTGATTTTTAAATTTTTTTCTATGATGTTTAAAAAGTTGAAGTTTTTTAATTGAAATTTTTAAATCATCTGCACAATATGTATGGCTTTGAAGAGCATTTAATAAACCCTTTGTAAACCAAATTTGACTTTGTTCTGATTTTTTTTTTGCCCATAGGAACACATTAATTAGATTTCAATGCAATGCATTCCATAAGACAAATTTTTCGCAAGACAACATTAACTGTGGAATGAATTAAATTCGTCTTGTGAGGCACCACTGTACAAATCAGCTCAGAGAGTATGGCTTTGAAGAGCATTTAATAAACCCTTTGTAAACCAAATTTGACTTTGTTCTGATTTTTTTTTTGCCCATAGGAACACATTAATTAGATTTCAATGCAATGTATTCCATAAGACAAATTTTTCGCAAGACAACATTAACTGTGGAATGAATTAAATTCGTCTTGTGAGGCACCACTGTACAAATCAGCTCAGATCTGAGGCTCAAACTGGGTGAGGTACAAATCACTCTGGATCAAGCTGAGATACATTCAGAAGGTACCATGGATGTAGCACAAACAGTTTGAAATGTTTCACTGCTTGCACAAGGAGGTATCCATAAACTTCTTTTGCAAGTCCTAAGTTGACTAGTTACAGCAGAGACCTCAGCTTGCATTCTGGCAATGCTTGCATAAAAAACAAATTCTCTTCGTTCATTTACACACATTCTCTTTAGCTGGTCATCTTATTTGTCTGGTTCAGTTTATATTCCACTACCCCCTTCCTCTGTTTTCACACAGCCAAGGCAACTGACAGCTTGTAAGCAATTAAAGCAAGATAAAATCACACAGTAACTAAGGATGATGATAGCAGTCCTACCATTAGTAACAAAAACAACAGCGGTGCATTGAAATTGCTGTAGAATGTGTTCCACAAATGTATTCCATGCAGTCAATCTCCACAGAGCTTTTAGCAAGCTCTTCATGAATAGGCGAGTGAGTTGTGTTGATCTCACTGAAATATACAACAGCAGTTATTCTGTGCTGGGCTTTAGACTGCCTTTTCTTCATTTTTCAAAGCTCTTCACATCTGCAAATTGCAACAAGCCATGGAATTGAATTTAAACCAAGCCATGGAGCTGAATTGAAACAAAATGGCAGGATCTTTACTTCCTTTTTTTCCCCTGGCAGTTTTTTAATTTTTAAAAGAAATGATGTTTACCTATCTTTGGATCATTTAAATTTATATGCTGTTTGTGGGTTTGCTTGTTTTTTAAGGGTGGGGTGTTACACTTTAAATACTCTTATACACTGATCAAAATCCTGTTGCACAGTTCACAACGATGGATCTAAATTGTGGGTGTTGATGTCACCAATAGGGGGAGATTTTTGATAATTAAAGATTTCTCCTTCTGCCCTGTCATTCTCATGAACATTCTCAATGAAATGGAGTACTTCCCCATCAGCAAGCCCTAAACAAAAGGAGAGCGTTTTTAGTTTCCAAAAGTCTCCCCTCATGGTGGACATCATCACTCATCTGAAAGCACTAACTTATGCAACAGGATTATGGACACTCTAATATTTGTAAAACTCTAGCAAGAAGAAGGTTGTAGCTTTGTGTTTGATCACAACAACCAGCCAATCAGCACCATACAATACATCCCCTTGTCCTGACGAAGAAAGGATATAACACTGGGAGTCACAGAACAGCCAGCCAACCAAAGGGGTGCATAGCTGTATCCTGAGAAAAAGAGATGGCTTGCCTATCAGAACTGCACAGATCTATCTTCTGCTGAAAAACATAAAGGCTTCCTTTGAGCTCTGTCTGAGTAAGAAGATAGTGGGTGAGTCCAAAATGTGATGCATCCATAATGGGCTCACTACTGAAATTATGTACCTCTTTGTATGTGTTTCCATCTACTGAAATCAATAGTCTTATGTACACTTAACACTGTGTTGGCCTGTGGCCCATCAGTCTAGCCTTCCTCTCTTGGCATCTCCACCTCAGACATCTCCTGCAAGGAGATCTTTAAAGGGACCAGTATGAATAATGGAAAATGTCTTGGCCCAGATAGCAGCAAAAGTAGCTGGAACATGTACTTCCATCTGGATTGCATCCTTCTTAAATATTTGGAGTTTTGTTTCCATGCTTAGGGAACCAAAAGTATTGAAAAATAGATAATGTCCTTTGGGATCCAAGCAAAACCAAAATTAAAACAAGAATGAAAAACTGCCATTTTTCCTGTATTTTTAAGGAGAAAGGCGCGGTAAAAATATTTTAGATAAGAGAAATAAATAAGTCAAGCAGAAGGGGAAGCCGAACTTATTTTCCTCTTTCCTTTCCAGCTTCCATCTGATTCATTCAAGTATCTCACCTGGCATGAATTAGAAGAACATGATGTTCGAGGGAGTCAAATTCGCTGTCCTCGAGTGAGAGAAGGTATTCAAAAGTATCTGTTTCGTTGCTCAATACCGGCATGCAGTGGCAAAAGTCTGTGTTGTTGATTCATCATAGAGAGGTTCTTTGCTCTTGGACTAGAAATCCCAGAAATCATAGTCAGTATATCTAGTAGTGAAGGCATCTGGGAGTTTTAGTCCAAGAACATCTGGGGACCCAAGGTTGGGAACCACCGCTCTAGAGCACAGGTAGGCAGCATGTGGCACTTCATACACTGTTGGACTACGACTCCCATCAGCCCTGACCTGCAGAAACAACAGCAAGGAATGTTGAGAATTGCTATCCAACAACTGGAGGACCACATTTGACCACCTCCTGAGTGCATCTTTGTAAAACCACCACAAACCTCCATCAGACTCATGTTACAATGTACCATGTAGTGCAGTCATGCTAGAAAGATATAGCATGATGCTTAAGAACGGATGGAGATGAAAATTATCTGGGAAAAACACTCATCAAAACTGTTTCCCTTTTGTGGTTTTACTATCTTACTAGACCGTGAGTGTGCTAAACTCACTTTTATCCTTTAAAAAGTAATCGCCATAACATTTTCTTCAGCATTCTTTAAAGAAATCTAAAAAGTTTCTGGTTCTGTAGTGTGAAATCTTATTTAAAGTTAAGCCGTCCATTAATTGATTTGTTAATTAAACGGCGACAGGTAAACCAGCTCTAAGACTGCTGCTGAGATAAAATACTATCCGAAAAGTTATGAAGTATGAAGGACAGAATAGGACAAGAACAATCAAACCTTAGCAAGAGAAGTAATTTGGTATGAGAATCAGTTGAAAGAATACCCATTTGTTTTCTTGGCAACTGTCTCATCTTTTTCTCCTGAAAAGAATCTTGAAAGCAATCTGATATGGCCAATAACGTTTGCAGAGGCTCATAGTCTCACAACTTTCCAATTCACAACTAGCATTTTCTAATACACAAATGCTCACTAGTTATTCCAAATTCATCTTCCTTGAGATTTAATTTTCCACCAGGTCTGATGTTTACAACTGCAGACAAATAATAAATATGAGAAAGATTGTACAAGAAAATCCGCTAAAATCCCCTAAGCCTATAGAATTTAGAAAGGCACTGTTACAAAACCATGAAGACACAGAAAAGTTTTGCATCTTGTTTTGTATAATAATGAGTATGCGCTTACCTGTGAATAAGCCCTATATAACTCCACAGAGCTCATGTCTAACTGCTCTGTTTTAAAAAAAGATGGTTATTTGACAGGTTCATATTGTGTATACAGAAGTGTACTTTTCATCTGGAAAAGAGGTTTTGCGAATTTTTGTATTATCTCAAAACAAAAACAGAAACCATCTCTGCAAAATATTTTTGGCCTGAGTTTGCAAGGAAAAATATTGTCTGGTATAGATAATAAAGACTATTTCAAAGCAATTTGAACTCTTTTTAAAGCTATTGTTCACTAAAGCTGTTACAAGCAGTCCTCTATCATGAACAGTTATTGATTCCTAACAGGCAACACAGGTGGCAACTACAGGGTCAAATACCACAGGATTTGCTCTGCTTATAAAACTGGAGAATTGGTCGTATTTTTTTTATTGACCACATGATGCGAAGGCTTATTTGAATTGGTCCAGCCCTTTTTGCTCCCAAAGTGGCTCCCCCCCACACCCCGCTGCTTGGGAGCGTCTACTTTTTCAAGCCTGAACAATACAAATGGGCTTTTCCCCATGCGATTTAGCTGTGATACATTCTTGTAAAGACAGTGACCGTGTCTGTAAGTCATGTTTCATGTTTCAGTAGGCAGTTAGGATGCGATTTCAGGACCAGGGGAACACTCTCTTGCCTTCTCTCCTCTTTCCTGATTGACATTTATGAGATTAGCACTAGATCACCCTATTGTCTTCTTACCGGGTCCTCATTATTATTATTTCCCATATTTATGCCCCATAAAAAGATTGGCAGAGGAGGAACCAGAGAAGGAAGGAAGGATCAGCAGATGCAGGACCAGGGGAAGGAGATTAGCACTAGATCACCCTATTGCCTTCTTACTGGGTCCTCATTATTATTATTTCCCATATTTATGCCCCATAAAAAGATTGGCAGAGGAGGAACCAGAGAAGGAAGGAAGGATCAGCAGATGCAGGACCAGGGGAAGGAAGGAAGGGCTGGGTAGGCTGGAACATGAATCACATTGCATCCAATATGAGCAGTGAATCCCTGAATAAATCTGCAACCCCTGTGGGAGCACTGACTGTGATTTCAAAGGTAATATAGGCTGCAAATCAAATACCTAGCTACAAAACCAAATCACTCTGATTTGGGTTTCCTGTGTAGTTGTACCCGCATTATGGATAAAGACATTGGGACAAAATATGGCTGCAGACCTAGCCATCAGCTGTGTCCCGCACCTACATTAGCAGTACCATTACAGGTCCCAACAATGTCACATACAATATCAGGAGCTCACTTACTTGTTCATCTTCTATGTAATATATGCCATCCTCCACCAATAGTCTCTCACTGCTTTCTATGCAAAGCAGACAGGACAGTATCTGTGCAAGAGAATAAACAGATGAATTTGACACAAGACATGGGAACATGCAGAAGCCAATGTCAGAACATTTCAATTTCCTGAGAAAACCTGTTGCTGGATCTCAAAGTTGTTGTAGGAAAAAAAAAGAATTTTAAAAAGGACATTTCAGGCATAAACAGGTAAAGTGGGTTACATTAATAAATTCTGTTTAATAGAGGATTAAATTGAAGTTGAGTTACTGTATTCTAGCACACTATGTATGTTAGTTGTCTCCTTTCTCTAGTGTCTTGTGAATAACTGTGCACATTTTTAGAGTTGCCCTTTCACCATCTATTTTTCATGAAAAGAGAAGTTCTCATTCTCAGGTTCTGAAAGCTCATGCCTCTTCCTAGAATTGCCAAGATATACGTAATCAGCTCTCTGCCTGTGTTAATAGGCTATGGTGGAAGCACATTACCCAGTATTTATACATTATTATCATTTCATTTAGTCCCATTTTTTGCCACTTACACACTATGCACACAGCTGTGGGTCACATTTGTGCTCCGTACATGAGGAAGTGGATTACATCCATGAAATCTCACAATGAAATAAAAGTGCTAATCTAAAAGGTGCCATCATTCTTTTGTTTATGTATCTTTTTGTTTGTTTGTTTGTTTGGTGCCATTGTTATTGTTTAACATCATTATGTTTCTCTAGACCTAAATCTCCTTGAAAAATCTAGGTATAATTCATATCTATTTTGCTTTCTCGACTTCTACATTTTGAAATGTTCTCTTAACCTTTAGGGTTGTTGAGCGCAGCTTATAAAAAAGGCATGTAAGGAGAGACATGGTAGAATTGTATAAAATTGTGGTATGTGTAGAGATAGTAGATGGGTTAGGATCCATTCTCCCTCTCTCATGGTAGAACTAGAGGGTCATCCACTCAAGCCGAATGATTAGAGACTTCAGGGACAAGATAGGAATGTTTTTCTTTGTGCAGAGCATAGTTAACCTATGTAGTTTGCTGCCACCAGATGTGACAATGGTTGATAAATTGGATGTTTTTTTAAAAAGGGATTGGACAACCAGTGGAACATGAAACTAGAAACATCTATTTCCTGTTGTGGTGTAAATATAATCCCTTTACTAACAGAGGCAGTGTGACTCTATATCAGCTGTGTAGAAGGGCGAGTGCTTATCCTGCTTGTGGCAACTGGTTGGCCACTCTGTGAACAGAATGCTGAACTCAATGAGCCCTTAGTCTGATCCAGCAGGGCCCTCTCATGTTCTTAATTTATACAAGGAAATGTGTAATATTGGAATGCATATTTCCTAACAGGACCTTCTGAAGAAGAACGGTTTTTCAGAGGGGAATGTCACACTCTGTATCCCAGAAGACGAGTGACAGAGAAAGAGAAATGGGAACAAAGACTGCAAGAAGACTGGGAAAACTGTGTGGTAGGAAATCATTTTTTTTTTAATTTAGAGTTGTGAAGAAGCATTGCTGTTCCTCCAGTTTGTGTGTGCTCTTAGGTTGGTGACGGAAGAAGCAAAGGTGCCTCTTCTTCCCTCACAACGTGCCTCTTCTTCCCTCACATTGTGCCTCTTCTTCCCTCACAACATGCCTCTTCTTCCCTCACAGCGTGCCTCTTCTTCCCTCACAACGTGCCTCTTTTTCCCTCGCCAAGAAGCTAAAAGCAAATTTCAAGTGGGGTGATTAGACCTGTGATGATCACTGGAACAAAGGAAAAGCTAATTGGCTTGGAGAGAGAGAACAAAAGGAGTCAACAACCCTTGTCCGAACCAGGGGAGCCTCACAGCAATGCCCTGAGGGCTCCTTTTATTGACTTAGCATGACTACACGATATGTTTATGAGAGAAATAGGATAGTGGTTACCTAATCATTAACTAGGATAGGCTAAAATAACTCTTTGATCTTATGGTCTATCTCTAAACGGAAGGGCAAAAGAAGAGGCTATCCTGCCTCTTGGCCCCTGCTGCATCCTGTCAGGAGTGTATACACTTCACTGAAACAGAATCACAGCCACAACCTTAGGCAGGAGTTTCCCACAAGACCCAGTAAATGGTAGAGAGGAATGTTTCCTCAGGATCACTTCATACATTGAAACTGGAATTGCCTCACCCCAGCTTCTTCCCAGTAATTTAAGAACATGTCAGAAAATCCATTTGCTATGTCTACACTTCCCAGTCAAATATGGTTCACCCTTCACAACAAAGACCCAGTTCGTAGAGGTAGATTGTGACACTGTTCCAATAGCTGGAAATTATTTATTATATATGAAAGAAATGGGTGACAGCCTCTCATGACTTAACCATCACAATTGCAGGTAATTTTGTGTGTGAAATGAGTTAATCAACACCTTCAAGTTTCTGATTCAATTCATTTTGCACCACTCCAAATTATTTCACGCCTTTTGTCCTCCTCTTTCCTGATGATGTCAAGTTCCTCACTAGCAACAGTATTTGGTGAACAGATATGATGCTAAAAAAATAGAGTACCTATGGATTTCTTCACAACACAATGGAAAGTTCCAGATTGTTCAGCAAGGTTGGAAAGAAAAACATGTTTGTCATCATGCAGAGGTAGCTAGCTGCATTGACCATAATTTGAATTCCAACAGCTGTACTTTGGTAATATTTTTGTTAAGCCACTCTTATTAGGCCCACTAATAAAGGTCTTCAGGTATGAAGTTACAAAAAGTGGTTTAATGTTAAACCTAATTGCAGACCCACCTGGCATGCTCGGGCCAAGGTTTCAAATCTTTAATTGAAGACACAGCACACAAAAGTTTTTGGAAAATGAATAATAAATGGCAATTGTTTAAACTGATTACAGTGGACAATAGCATTTGTTCAACATAAGGTATCAGATCCAAACAGCAGACAAACTGCCAGCTCACTATTGTATGTACCCAGCCCTTTCGCTGGATTCCTTAGGGAATGGGAATGAAGAGGTTGCCCAGTCGTGTCCGACTCTAGGGGGCGGTGCTCATCCCCGTTTCCAAGCCATAGAGCCAGCGTTTTGTCTGAAGACAATCTTCCGTGGTCACATGGCCAGTGCGACTTAGACACGGAATGCTGTTACCTTCCCACCGAGGTGGTCCCTATTAATCTACTTGCATTTGCATGCTTTCGAACCGCTAGGTTGGCGAGAGCTGGGACGAGCGACGGGAGTTCACTCCATTGCGAGTATTCGATCTTATGACTGCTGGTCTTCTAACCCCTGCAGCACAGGCTTCTGTGGTTTAGCCCACAGCGCCACCATGTTCAAATCTTGAAATGAAGACAAAGTGCACAAAAGTTTTTGGAAAAGGAATAATAAATGGCAATCGTTTAAACTGATTACAGTGGACAATAGCATTTGTTCAGATCCAAACAGCAGACAAACTGCCAGCTCACTATTGTATGTACCCAGCCCTTTCGCTGGATTCCTTAGGGAATGGGAATGAAGAGGCCATCCCCACTCCCCGTGCAAAACCACTACCATCTGCTGTTGAATTCCAGAGCATCCACACCCCATTCAACTGCAAAATTTGATCCTATGCACACAATCAATGATGCATCCCCTGCACTGTCCCTGAGGTGAATTAACAATGGCATACATAATCCATACACACACAAAAACTGTTTAGTCTGTATTCATGTGCTACCCACACTGCAATAGGCTCATCCTGAACCATATTCACGGAAGGGAGGGACGATGGCTGGATAAAGTTCAAGTTCAGATCCAAACAGCAGACAAACTGCCAGCTCACTATTGTATGTACCCAGCCCTTTCGCTGGATTCCTTAGGGAATGGGAATGAAGAGGCCATCCCCACTCCCCGTGCAAAACCACTACCATCTGCTGTTGAATTCCAGAGCATCCACACCCCATTCAACTGCAAAATTTGATCCTATGCACACAATCAATGATGCATCCCCTGCACTGTCCCTGAGGTTGTGACAAGATAGTGAATTAACAATGGCATACATAATTCACCACAAAAACCGTTTAGTCTGTATTCATGTGCTACCCACACTGCAATATGCTCATCCTGAACCATATTCACGGAAGGGAGGGAGGGTGGCTGGATAAAATTCAAGTGAAGACGAAGCTGAAGTCTAAGTAAAGATTAAGCCAGGGAAGACTAGGGAAGCCAGTATGTCCTCACAGACAGAACAGAGGGGAAACTCCTCATCTCAAATCTGGCTATAGGAAACACTACCTTCCAGACAACTCAGTGATCATCTGATTGGCTGGCAGAAACATGGACTTTCCAAGTGCTGATGTAGCCATGGAAGGTGGTGGGAGTCAGCTAGTGTTATGGAAGAAGGAGAGGAAGATTCTTCAGCCATGTTTCTACTGCCCATTACAGGATGTCCCAGAATGGTTAAAACTTTTTTTAATCTAAGTATCTTATCTTTAATCGTTTTCAGTCAACAACAAGAGAACACAAGCTTTCCCTATCAAAATAGACTATTGTAATATTCTGTCAAGATGGCAGCCAAGTTGTGCTTGCTCAGGTCAAATCAGACACTCATTTTTCAGCTAAGTAAAATGAAAAATTACTTTGGAGGTAAATCAGATCAAACAGTGATTTAGTTTTAATAGAGGAGAAGAGACGATAGTTTTTTGCTGAATGTATATCCATCAATACTTCCTTTGGAGGTCTTTGCCAATGAAAATCTGTTCCCTCTGGCAAAATCTGGTACTTTATGAATTAGCCATGTTTCTACTGCCCATTACAGGATGTCCCAGAATGGTTAAAACTTTTTTTAATCTAAGTATCTTATCTTTAATCGTTTTCAGTCAACAACAAGAGAACACAAGCTTTCCCTATCAAAATAGACTATTGTAATATTCTGTCAAGATGGCAGCCAAGTTGTGCTTGCTCAGGTCAAATCAGACACTCATTTTTCAGCCAAGTAAAATAAAAAATTACTTTGGAGGTAAATCAGATCCAACGGTAATTTAGTTTTAATAGAGAAGAGACGATAGTTTTTTTGCTGAATGTATATCCATCAATAGGGACGTGGTGGCGCTGCGGGCTAAACTGCAGAAGCCTGTGCTGCAGGGTCAGAAGACCAAGCAGTCGTAAAATCCACATGACATGACGGAGTGAGCGCCCGTCGCTTGTCCCAGCTCCCGCCAACCTAGCGGTTCGAAAGCATGCAAATGCGAGTAGATAAATAGGGACCACCTCGGTAACAGCTTTCCATGTCTAAGTCGCACTGGCCATGTGACCACGGAAGATTGTCTTCGGACAAACGCTGGCTCTATGGCTTGGAAACGGGGTCGAACACGACTGGACAAAAATTGTCAAGGGGAACCTTTGCCTTTATATCTATCAATACTTTCTTTGGAAGTCTTTGCCAATGAAAATCTGTCCCCTCTGGCAAAATCTGGTTCTTTATGGTTTTGCCCCAAATACATCCTGTGAAAGAGATTCAGTGTGCAAAGTATTTCAGCTGATGGTTAAAATCAATTAACTAAAAAAAATTTATTTCTGTATTGCCCAACTCTGTCAGGATTTAAATCTTTCCTATCAAGATTTGGGAGACCTTTACCAGATAGAGAACTGTAAAAGAATTCTGCGTCGATTAATTCGAGTGGAGAGACTTTGGTTGGTGGACAACTCATTGTCAGATCTAAGTGCCATATGCTTGCCAAGGTAATTTTTCTTTTTTAATTATCAGGATTCTCCCAAGTATTAACTGAGTCAATGCCAGTGCTATGGATGTTTCATGTATTTGCAGTCACAGTTGAAAATGTTAACCAGAGAGAATGTCCCATTTATGATAGTAGACGAAGCATTCTCTGTGTTTTGGAAAATTGTGGTTTTTTTTAATTTAAAAAATCCTAATTGTTTGAAGTTGGACTTTCTTTCCCCCCTCTGTTTCTGATGTATGATAGTGGAGAGACTTTGGTTGGTGGACAACTCATTGTCAGATCTAAGTGCCATATGCTTGCCAAGGTAATTTTTCTTTTTTAATTATCAGGATTCTCCCAAGCATTAACTGAGTCAATACCAGTGCTATTTCATGTATTTTCAGTCACAGTCGTAAATGTTAATCAGGGAGAATGTCCCATTTATGATAGTAGAAGAAGAATTTTCTGTGTTTTGGAAAATTGTTTTTTTTTTAATTAAAAAATCCTAATTGTTTGAAGTTGGAGTTTCTTTTCCCGCTCTGTTTCTGATGTTTGATGGGATGTGTGCTTATGCATTTTACAGATGCAAAGAACTGAAACTCAGCAAAAATCATTTTACATCATTCAAACAGCTGCCAAAACTACCCGTGATCCAACATCTGTCCTTAGAGGAGAACAATATTGAGACTCTGGATGGATTGTCAGACTTAAGACGCACTCCACTACAATCTCTTGTACTCATGAGGAACCCCTGTGAGTTTCATGAAAACTACAGGCAACTGTAAGTTCTTGCCTACTGTTGAAGTGTGTTTAGACAACAAAGTGTCCCTAGGTGGGCATCGTTTTGTAAACATTACAGGCAACTGTAAGTTCTTGCCTACTGTTGAAGTGTTTTTAGACAACAAAGTGTCCCTAGGTTTGCATTTGTAAACATGAAAAGATGATGCAAAGCGCTTATTAGAGACGCTTCAGGCCACATTCTCAACATGGTGAGACCACATGGAGCAATGATTTCCAAGCTTTTTACCAAGCATGCCTTTTGCCATGAGCTCTGCTTAAATGAGAAGAATTTCAAACCATTGCTCTCTGTGTCATCTAAATCAGGAAACTGGTTAATCTGGGGCTTCCTGGTTTACCAACACTGAGCAAAAAGGAAGGTACAAAGCAGCTAATTTCAAATTACTTTGGCTTAATAAGTTAAGAGATACTCGAGATCTCACAGCTGAAGTGCAAGGCTGATCCTAATATTAACCAAGCTGAGGCAAGTGGCTCTGGCAGCAAAAGAGTAGAGGCAGCAAAGGCCCCACTGTCATCTAAATCAGGAAACTTGTTAATCTGGGGCTTCCTGGTTTACCAACACTGAGCAAAAAGGAAGGTACAAAGCAGCTAATTTCAAATTACTTTGGCTTAATAAGTTAAGAGATACTCGAGATCTCACAGCTGAAGTGCAAGGCTGATCCTAATATTAACCAAGCTGAGGCAAGTGGCTCTGGCAGCAAAAGAGTAGAGACAGCAAAGGCCCCATATTTTGGCTGTTGTACCTAGCTTGAACTCTGCTGCACACCCACAATCATGCACAGAACCAGCAGCAATGGCAGTTCTTATATGCCATCAAAATCTTACCATGCTCCCTCTATACTGCACCTGTCTGTTCACCAACACAGACAGCAGGTGTTTTCATCAGTAAGACCGGCCTTCAAGGAATTTGTCAAATAATTGTTTTTGCCCTTTGTCCCATAGTACCTTGCCTGCAAGACTCCCTTGAAGCCAGGTCTTATTAGAGAAACATCTCGTGTCACTGAAGCAGAGTGCCATAAAACTAGTGAACCAAGACCAGTACTTCTTTTGACAGCCCAAGAGAACATCACTACCACTGGTTCGATCACAGCTTGAAATTGCTTGTTTCATGAACTACAACTCCCAGAATTGTAGTCTAACAATTAATTTCTATGTATTCTCGAAGGCTTTCACAGCCAGGATCCAATGGTTGTTGTAGGTGTTTCGGGCTGTCTGGCCGTGTTCTGGAGGTTTTTCTTCCTAACATTTCGCCAGTCTCTGTGGCCGGCATCTTCAGAGGACTGACTTCAGTACTGCGAAATGTCAGGAAGAACAACCTTCAGAACATGGCCAAAGACCCCGAAAAACCCACAACAATGATCACAGGTACATTATATCCCTTTGAATGAGTCTCAAAACTGATTTAGGCCATTCTAGAGGACATCCACTTTGCTTCAAACAGAATCTCTGTGAATTAGGTCATTTCAAGGTTCAGCCAGACTTGAATGCACACTTCTAGCTCATTAACCCAATTGTGCTCTGCTATAGATAAATCTAGGTACCCTTTCTGTAAACGATGTTTTCTTTTCTTTGGCATCCTTTGGAATATATATTTTTCAGTATTTTCTGATGTCTATTTTATTTATTTTGCTCAAATTCTCCAGCATTTATTGGAAAGTATAGAATGAATGACATTGTTCAATATTTTAATAATAGTATATATCCCACCAACATAGATGTATGTATGTGTAGGTTGTTATTTTGCTCTTACTAAAATTCAGAATATTTTACAGCTACCTAGTTAATGTGATCAGCTTCATGAAAAAAATCTGATGCCAAAACAAAATCTTGTGGAAGCCGCATCACTCTGCCAAATTTAGAGCCAGATAAACTTTCTGTGGTCATTTTGCCACTCCCACCCCCAAAGTCCTTGAGAGCAGTACTACTGCCAATCCACTGTCCAAAAACCCTCTCAGAATGCCTGAAAAGCATTGCATACCATTAGTTCTTATGGCCTTTTTGGAGAAGAAATTATGCCCATCAGGTTATGGCTAACAGGAGAAACTCTGGCAAACAAGTGGTGGGAATTTCCTGCCTCTCTTTTCACTCTCAGAAAATCTTGGAAATGGGGTTGCAAAATGTGGGGTACTTTAAATCACTACTGTGTCTTTTAGACACACCATCTTCATTTGCAGATGTGGTGGTGGTGGGGAATCATAGAATCAAAGGGCAAAATCTTCTTGCTTAGTGTAGTCAATCACACTAAAGCAGTCCCATTGAATTGGTGGAGATTTGGGGACTCAGCTCCTCCAAAAATCCCATTGCGTTGTAAATTTCTGTTAGAGTAGGCCCATTTAAATCAATGGAACTTACAAAAGTTGACTCACCAAATCCCCATTGTGTCAATGGGCCTACTTGAGTGTAATTTACTTGACTAAACAACAAGATCTTGGCCACAGAGCCATAGAGCTGCAAGAGACCATTGTACCCAGCCTCGTCTCAATGAAGGAAAATTTGCAGTTAAAGCACCCCTGATACATCCAATCTCTTCTTATAAATCTGAAGTGAAGTGAACAGTGTGGGCTGTGGGAACAATTGCCCGAGCCAAAGTACGGTAGGCCCGCTGAATCAATGGAAACGTATTTAAGCGCCACTGATTAAATGGGACTGCTCTAGCAAGGAGTAACAATTTGATTTAGACCAGTAAACTTAAGGTCAACTGTATGGAATAGTGGAAATTTTAATCTGTTCTTAAATTTTGTTTCCTTGTAGCGTGTTCTGTAGCTTGCCAAACTTGAAAGTGCTAGATGGAATTGTGAAACTGCCAGAAGACTCTCCCCCACCAGAAACAAGTTTTCTCTCTAAAATATGCACCATACTATAGCATTATATTTTCTGTGATGGGACTAAGTGAACTGCCACAATTAAAGGAATAAATCCCATGAATATACAAGTCTGTTTCTGGAGATACAGATCGGGATCAAGCTGGAGTTCTTGCTGTGCCAAAAAAAAAAGTCCAAAATATCCATTGTGGGCGGGGGGGGAGCAAGAAGAAACAACAAATTGTGCTGTCTCACCATGTATATTTTTGTTCTGCTTGTGCGTATCTTTGTTCTAAGTCATTTCTACTCCCTTAGGCTCATGGAATTCTTTCTTGTGTTTACATTCCACCAAGAAATGCAGAAAAAGGCTAGTGTTCCATTTTTATCTTCAAATAGCCGTGTGAGGTAGGCGACCCTGAGAGATTATGTCTAACCCATTTTCACAGGGAGCCTGTGAGTTTCATGGCTAAGTGACAATCCAAAGTCGATTCTTTCTGCCGCTCTCTGACAGCATCCCAACCCGTGAGATGGCACCAAGATCTTTCAGAATTTTCGAAATGGATTGTTAAATAGCAGAAATCTCTTCCCCTTATTTAAAAACAAACAAATTGAGGCCCGATTCTCACAGATTTTCCAGGTTGTTTATCTTTCAGCAGGATGGGAAACTTGAAACATTTCTATTACACAGTGGAGAAAAATGCGAGATTGACCAAATATCTGAACAGGAACAAATCTGCAGTCTTATTATTCTCTCTACCCTTCCCTCAAAAATGGGACTGGGGTGGGCGTATCTTTTATTTCTTTAAAAGAAGCCTGTTCCCACCTAACTTATTTTTGCGCGGGGACAAGATGCAAAGAAATAAACCTTCAGACTCTTCAAGATTCGAATTTTTACAACACATTGATAGAAACCCAGGCTTGGATTTTTCTGTTCATTTCTATCTTTGCTTTAGCAGTGAAGATTTCCCAGGGTCTTCTTGCTCCCTTGATGTCATGCACTAACAAAGGCTTTGTGAGTGAGGCAGCCCCAGACAATGACTATTTCACCTCCACCTTCCTGCCACTGGTTCCAGATAAAGCTTAAAAATAACTTTAAACCTGATCTCCTTTCAGAGGCAGCGCCTGCTGTAGAGTGTGCATAATCTTAAAACAAGCAGACAAAAATTACAGAAGCATTATTTTGTTTAGATGCAAATGTGCAGGCTTAATAGACTATTAACCAATTACAAATCATCTGACTAATTTTCTTTGAATCCATGACCGTCTCCTCTCGTAGTACTGGAGAATGAAACTGATGGGTAACTTGTTCACAACAGACGACGCATAATAAAGTTATGAAATTTCTCCCTAGTTCTTTTTTTAGAAAGGTATCTTTTTCAACAAATCAGGGAAATCCACAAGGGGGTAGGTATGTTTATGACTATTTCCCATCACAGCTAAATGAAAGTTCAAGGGCAACAGACGTTTGATTCCAAATGTCGGGAAGTACCCAATAATTCATATGAATGTGGAACATGCTACTGTCAGTGACAATAGCTGTAAGCCTGACCCAAGAGATTTTGCTGCCTGAGGCAAAGGACAAAATGATTCATTCCCAGCCGACATACAGAGGCTCACAAGACTCGCAGTTATGCTGCAAGATCATCACGCCTGAAAGAAACACGTGCATGGGAACAGCAGTTAGGAAGGAATGTTTCGTAAGTAATTTGTGATGCAACTCATTACAGCACCAAATGAGTAATCGGTTTCCATTATGTCTGGATCTGGGTGGCGGCAGGGTTTCCCCTGCACCACCACCCTGGCAGCTGCAGGATCGGGGCCAGCTTGGTCCCAGAAAGAGCTCAATGTCTGCAGGATCAAGCCCTGTCAGAGCAGCAGTTGCCAGGGTTCTTATGAGGTCCATCTGGGAGTCAAGTAGGGAAGGCCTACTTGAGGAATGACTCTTCCCTACCAGAAGCTGCCTCAGCAGCATAGATCTTTGGCTGTGCTCCTGAGCCCTAGTGCTTCTGTTTTGAATTCTGGTATTCCTGATTCTGCATTCCTGCTCCCTGCTCTGTCTCACTTGTTCCAACTCCTGTGGCCCGGTTCCAGCCCCCAAGCTGTGGTTTCAGCTCCTGTGCTCCTAGCTAATATTTTGCTGCCTGTGGCAAAGGACAAAACAATTCATGTGAGTTTGGGCTTGGCCCTCTGTGCTGTTGGCTGGATCCTGGTGCCCTTGCCCCCTGCTGTTGAAGGCAACCATGCACAACCTGGATCCTAACACATTGATAACTTAGTAGATGGTTTATTCTGTTAATTATTGTTTCTCTGCCTTCCCCCCCCCTTTCATTATTTCTAATTGGGTGTTGAGGGAATGCATTTAAAAAACATAGAAAGGGAGTCTAAAATAAAAACAAAACCTGCAAAATACTCAAATTAATTTTAACTCCCAATAATGAGGAAATGGGACGAGCAACATTATTTAATACATGGAAAGATGACCAAGAGAGTATTAGGATACCCCCTTATCCATCCAAATAAACCTGTTACCTGGAATGTAATAAAACAAGGTGTCATCAAGTCAATTCTGACTTGTGGTGACTCTTTTCAGAGTTTTCTAGGTTGAGAATACTCAGAAGTAGTTTGCCGTTTCCTTCTTCTGGGGGCATCCTGGGACTATGCATCTTGTTCAAGGTTGCACAGGTTGACTCTTTGGGGATGTACAGTGGGGAATTGAACTCTCAATCTCTTTCTCCTTGGCCAGATACCTAACTCACTGAGCTATCCAGCCTGGGATATCCTTCTTCCCATTCCTGTTATGGAGCACCAGATGATAGGCACACAGAGGTCTCTCCGCCAATCTCTTGCTCCTGCCTCTACCTTAGTGGTCCCCAACTTTGGGCCTCCAGATGTTTTTGGACTACAACTCCCAGAAGCCTGCACAACCACCTCTGGTGGCCAGGATTTCTGGGAGAGTCCAAGAACATCTGGAGGCCCAAGGTTGAGGACCACTGCAGCAGCTGTTCCTGTTGAGTCATGTCTCATTCATGTGAGTTTTAGACTTACAGGCGGTTTCTGTACGACAAAGGGAAGTAGCAGGTCACGCGAAGGCAATTGTCACCCTCTTAATTCTTTAAAATACAGTTATACCGTGTCATGCTGTAGAATGCATTGTAAGTTGGAATAAGAGAATCACATTTATTTTCTGCCTTCTTCCTCCTTCTCAGCTGGTTAAAAGCAAATGCTTTGTATTCATTACAAAGTAGCTTTTACTTTGGCCATAGATGTGGTCATTCGTAAAAGTGATAGAGTTTGTGGTTAGTATTCATCAGCCTTCACTACTGAAAAAGAAAGAAGAAGAATTGAATTTAATGCTTACACTGATTGAAGCTTTGATCAATTTAGGTACATGTATAAAACACACAAGGGTGCAGCTGTGGGGATTACAGTCAGAGGCAGCTATTAAGCTTTTCCAAAGCCATCATTTTTCATTTGTGATCTCCATTTCAGATACTTGAGCATGAGCGTGTGCACACACACAGACACACACACACACACACACGAGAGAGAGATTCTGTGCACTGTGCCACACTTAATAACTGAAGATGCTAAAAATAAAGAATAGTAGACTTCACAGCCAGCATATGCCAGAAATCAAAATAATTATACAAATACATGCAATTGATTTGGGAAGAAAGTTGAAGGCAGGGACAGAAATGAATAGACAACAAAGCACCAAACTCATGAATAGTCAAAGTACTAAAAAAAAAAGTCACAGTGTCCCTGAAACTGGTGGAAAGAATGTTTTGAAAGGGAAAACAAAGCAACTGACATAAGAGATTATGCTTATTTTCCTAACACAAGGATCCCGAACATATGAGGTGAGCATTCTCGAAAAGAATAACACACTGACAGCATGTAATCCTGCTATCATGGGGAGTCTGGATAGCTGCTTTAGAAATAACTAGTTATATTAAAAGTTTCAAGGTTTGTGCTGTCCATAGTCCCCCCCCCAAGCAATTCATGAGAAACATGCACTATAAAAAGGAAACACAAAGACATTATTTTACAAAAATAAACTAAAAATATTTTTAAAGTTCTCCTTTCACAGATTGCTGCCTTGACGTGGTGAAGGGGCGTGAGTAATTCAGAGAAGCAATGGGCTATGCCGTTCAGGGACATCCAAGACGGACAGGTCATAGTGGAGAGTTCTGACTAAATGCGATCTACCTGGAGCAAGAATCGGAGCCACTCCAGTATGGTTGTTGTGGGTTTTTCGGGCTTCTTGGCCGTGTTCTGAAGGTGGTTCTTCCTAACGTTTCGCCAGTCTCTGTGGCCGGCATCTTCAGAGGACAGCAAA